CGCCCCGCCGCGAGCCGTCGCCGCCGCTCCCGGACCTTCCAGGGCGTCGGGGACCCCAAACGCCGCGGGGGTCCAGGCGCAGGCGGAGCCCCGAGGACGGCCTCTGGCTCGCCCCAAAGTGGGGAAAGAAACGGCCCCACGGAGTGAAGTTTGGACGGGAAGCGCCCCCTCCGGACGGGAGACCCGAGGGCCCGCTTCCCGGCGCGGGGGCGCTGGCGCTGGGGTGGGCAGCGCCGCTGCTCGCTGCTGCCGGCCAGCGAGCGAGCGAGGAGGCAGGTGCCGGCGGCGCCATCACCGCTAGCAGGTGGCCCCCGACTCTCCCAAGGAAACCGCCCTGGGGTCCCCAGGCTCGGCGATTTGTCATATTTTGTGCTTTTCAACAAAGACAATGTTTAATTGTACTGTTACTTTTTTTTTTTAAAGATTTATTTATTTGTACATACAGAACTGGGGTACAGGCCAGAGGCTCAAGGGCGGTGAAAGAATTCACCAGAGACAGAGTGGGGAGCAGAACAGGCAGATCATGAAGTGCACTGCTGAGGGGAGCAGCGGGCGGGCCAGGAGAGGTCTGCCTGGCCATGTGGTCACCTTCGGGGCAGGCAGGGATCGAACTCATGCGGAAGCGGCTTTAGATTCTCAATGCTGTGCTTTAACCCACTGCACCACCAGGGAGGGCCTGTACTGTTACTTTTAAGACACTTTTAAACTGTTGCATCAATTAAAAAAATAAGAAAACCTCTCCTCTGTTTACCTCCTAGTCAATCTCGTGAATGCTTTGGTCTGTCTTCTCGCCTGCGTTTCCTCTGCTTCTCCATGCCCTTGAGCGACTAGGACGATGTCTTGCGAAGGTGTTCTGCCCTCTCCACTTCACAATCTCAGGCTCTTCTCCTGCTTTTTTCTTCTTTTGTGAGATGATTCTCTACGGCAGCCTAAATGCAGACATAGACTGCTTATAAAAATTTTGCTTATAAATCCCGCCCTGGCAGGATTCTGGGGACCAGGCAGGGGACAGAGATAACAACTCCTCTCCCTTCTCTTGCTCCAGTATCATAATTTTGTACCATTATAGAATCATATTTTATTGCACCATGTCTGGTGTTCAGTGTCTGGAAGTCGGGAACCAGTCAGTCAGAGGCAGAGACTATTTTTGGGTGTTTTCTATGTTATCTTCCAGAAAGATTTGTCAGTGTTCCCTTGAGAGTTGCCGGGTTTTCCATACCCTTGACAACACAGGGCTGGTTTAATTCAATAATGCCACGCATTCTGGTCACTCGGATTGCCATTTCTCGGATTCCGGGTCAGCTGGCTTGTTGGCCCAGCAGCGATTCACCACCTGTTTGTGTTCTTTGTTGCGAACTTGCTGGGGTTCCTTGGCCCCCCTCTGCCTGTCCACTGGCCTACTGGGTGTGGCTTTGTTTCACGCTGGGGGGGGTCTCCTTAGAAAGTCCAGTGATTCCTGCCTTGACTGTTCTGTTCGAGCCCGCCCTCCTCACCCCCAGTGTGTTTTATATTTGCTGTTTTATCACAGAAAATAACTTTCGACACCTAGAGGATTCGGTTGCTTCTACACACGGCTTCTTTGTTGTTTTCCAGCACTTTCTTGACTACACTCACGCCTCGATCCTTCCCAGTGAACTTTGGAATTTCTCATCGATATTTTTAAAATCCATGGAAAAGACTGTTTACCCAGGTCTCACTTTGCCTTTCGCGGTCAGGTTTCATGTTACCTGGGTACACAAACGTTTCAGATCGTTCACACATGTGAAAAAACTCTCCGCCAGAGCCTGCAGTCTCAGGGCTCCGAGAGGGCCGGGCTTTGGGCGCCAGGGGGCGGCTCGGGCGTCAGCCCCAGAGGCCGCTCAGCACGCAGCCCAGTGCCCAGTGGTGCCAGCTGCGTCCGAGGGGTGACACCCCTTCACTTGCATCGCTCATGGGCCCCTCACACCCCGACCTCCTCTTCTACCCTCGTGTCACAGATGAAACACCTTTGAGGTTCAGAGGTGTTAAGGAGCGGCAGGACCCCACGGCTGGGAGGGGCACAAGGCCCCAGATTACTCCTCACCACGAAGTCGTGTGTGTGTACATTGGGGGTGTTTGTATGGGGGGGTATGGGGTGTGCTGTGTGTGGGGTGTGCTGTATATGGGGTGTGCTCTTATGGGGGTTTTTTGTTTTGCTTGGGGGGTTTTTTTTTTGTTTTGTTTTTTTGGGGGTCTGTGATGTGTGCAGGGTGTGGGGGGGTGTGCTGTGCGTGGGGTGTGGGGGTGTGCTGTGAAAGGTGTTGCTGTGTAGGTGCCTATGGGATGTGTGTGTGTCACTTTCTGGTTCCTAGTTGAACTGCCTCTGACCCCCCGAGCATGCCAATCTGCCAGTGGCTGCCCGTCTGCAAACTGCAGGCACACTGCTCGTCGCCCCGGCCAGCGGGTGGAAGGCCCTGTGAAACTCCTTCTCACGCACTGTCTGTTCAACTCTTCTTCTGTAGTGTGCCATTGGCTGGCTGAGGTCATTTAACAGCATGGTACCGTGAGGTAGTTAAACATGCTGTATGCTAACTGCCAGTAACATCCAAAAAAGAAGCCTTGTTAGATCTTGCGAGGAGGAGACGCCCTTCTCACCTGCAAAGGCAAACCGGTTCTGAGGACATGGCGCCCTCCCGGCCAGCTCCGAGGCCCCAGATTCAGCCGTGTCCCAGGTTTGGTCTGGGCGCAGACCAGAGGCGCTGAGTGGAAGCCAGGTTTGCACTCTGCTCAGGGCCGCCAGTGGCTTTATTGCCAGGACGTGTGGGTGGGAGGGGGCGAGGCGCAGCAGAGTGTTGGGGCGAAGGGTGCAGGCAGGGGCCCAGACAGGGGTCCCCACGGCTCACAGGCACCTGCTCATGCTTAGTGCTGGGCCTGGCGGATGCCTTGAGAGCTGCCTGGGGTTTCCAAATCCTCCTGGCCCCTGCTGGGTCATAAAGAGCAGAGGCACACTGGCCCCACGTCCGCCTCTGGGGTGCTGTGAACGAGACGCCGTCCTGGAGCAGTACAGGACACCACGTTGTAACGACAGCAGAGATCTGACACTCAAAAGGTAAACTGTGGGGCCTCCCTGTGGCCTGGGGTCCGTCTCAGCACTCTCGCCACTGCGGCCTGCGTCCATCCCGGCCAGGGAGTGACCCGCAGGGCCCAGCAGACCCCTCCTGTCTCCCCGCTGCTCCCTCAGCAGTGGGTTCAGTAGATCCACCTGTTCTGCTCCCCACTGTCTCTGCTGAACTGTTTCACACCCCACCCACACCTCTGACCTGTACCCCAGTTCTTGTGTACATAAATAAATCTTAAAAAAAAATAGAATTGACAGCAAGTCCGTTCTCCCGACGTGTGTAAATCAATCCGGTCTTCCTCCCTCTGCCCGCGGGGATGTTCTGCAGCCAGCCCAGGGAGAACCGGAGAGGAGACGTTCCCACAGCCTCGTCGGGGTCCTTCAGCCCAGGGCCACGGACAGGCTCCAGGTCCCGGCCTGCTTCCCCGCCTGCGGCCTAGGCGCCCGTGAGAGGAAGGGGCTTGCTAGGCCACGGCTGGAGTGACCGGCTCCAACACCCCCTGGGGTCTGGCCAGGGAGCCCCGCCCGCCGCCCTGCCCCCGCCCCCAGGGCCGCTTCCCACAGACCTGCTCCCTGCTGAAGCAGCAGGGGTTCTCCTCGGCCCACCTGTGACTGGGCAGGTGTGTCTCTTTTTTTTTCTCTTTTTCCTAATCAACCTGTGCTTTTAAGTCGTGAAAAAAGCAAAAAAAAAAGAAGGCCGGGCTGCCCCTGTCTGTGGGGGGACACCAGGCCTCAACAGGAACCATGGCGCGCCGGCACGGGCCGGGCAGGTGGTCACGCTGTCACTTCCTGGGATGAGCCAGTGGCCACGCTGGTGCCAGGGAGGGAGAGGAGCCGGGACAGAGGCAGAGGCGCACCCAGGGCTCCGGGGAGTCCTGGCAGGGAGCCAGGCCGGGGTGAGCCTCCTCCCCCGCGGCTGGTCCTGCGACCTGCCCT